AAGCCGAGTAACTTGGTTAAGATACTCTTAAATTTTCTGTTCCTCAGTTTCTTCATCTACGAAATAAAGAGAACAATCCTAAATTTAGAGGGTGTTTGTATTGATAGTGATAATGTTTTCATGAAGAGATTAGCATGTAGAAAATTACAAGGATGTTCATTATTAAGGCAGAAAATATATACTATTTTTCATTTATTAAGTGAACCGTAATATTTTGGGACCTATTTTATGTAAATATCATACATATATCCCAGTAAAAAAGGATTAAGTGGAAAGTTTTCGGTGTTGAAATATGGTGCTTGCTTCGGCAGTACATATGCTAAAATTAGTTTTGAAATACGGATGACACTTTTACCAAATATTGAGGGGCTACCAAATGCAAATGACATAAATAAGCTTAATCTTTCGTTATGAATCGGTAGCAGAAAATGCCAAATCTTTTCATAGGTTTTTTTTCCCCCCTCAAAAGATGTTAAGTTCATGAAATCACTTTCGTATTTTGATCTTAAACAGGAGTGCTAATTAAGCTGTAACTGGTAATCTCTACCATCCTCTTATTTCTTGTGCTTAAAAAAGAAGAAAAGAATGAAAGAACAAGAGAGAAAGAAAAAGAATGTAAGGAAGGAAAGAAGGAAGGAGCGAAAGGAAGGAGGGAAGGGGAGAAGAAGGGGTGGAAAGGAAGAGAGGGGAGAGAGGGGCAGAAAGCCAGAAAGGGAAAGAAAGTCAAGAGTGGGTAAGGTCAGGAAAAACAGGCAGCAAGTTGATGTTAAACCAGTGCATTGTTTCCCTTAATCCCCTTCATTCATTAAATAGAATTTCTATGTCCTCTCCACCATTGAGTCACGACAGACTTTCCCATAATTCTTTCTGAATTATACGTTTAAATTTTTTAAAAATTTGTAATTGATAGAAAACCTCATTTATATTTTTGGGTGCTCTCATGCTGTTTTGTATACATTGCGAACTGGCTAAATAAACTTGCATTTCTGCACATCGTTGTCACTGGGCCAGCTCTACATTTTAGAGCTCCGTCTGCCCTCCTTTTTGCGAAATGGACAGATTATTATTGCAGTCGCTGTTCATTACAAAATTTGGCCTTTGATTTCTTAAAAATGTTTTCAAATATTTCCGTCTGTACTCCTTCCCTTCTGAGTATATTCTCGGTGGGAACCGACTCAGTAACTTAAGACAATTTGCTGACGAGAAATCCTGAGAAACCATTATGAAAGTGAAGGTGGCAAACAATCTTTGAATATATTTCCCAATTTAAAAAGCTTTCATTACATAGCATATTTCAGGCTGAGAACGTTAAACATTTATCATAGTTTCGGTAATTGTAGCTTCCTCTAGAAGCTTGGCATGCCATGGAATCATTTGTAAAGTGTGTATTTTGTTTGGCACTCAGTAGGAGGCTTGCCAGGCAATACATTTAATTAAGAATGCAAAGAAGGGAATAATTGTGGTCAGTCAGAGTGTATTATCATTACTTTTAAGTTCTAAAAGTTATTGTTACTTTTAAGGAACTGGTTCCCTAACAAGGTATATGTTAAAAGCTGGAGGTAATTTCCCTTTTAGCGGCCCAGGGTTTTTATGCAGAGGAATATATTATTTTGAGAGGAAAGGTACGTTTGCTGCATCCCTTAGATATAACTCTTTGTCTATTGTTTCAGTTACCATGAGCCTCAGCTGCTCTTCCTAGAAACAACATTTTCCCATTGTTTAAGAACTTGAAAATTGATGCATTGCCTTTTGGGAGCTTAGACAGCTTTATTTAAGTTTAACTTTCTTTAGAGATGCACAGAAATAATGAAACGCAATGTCTTTCTTGAACATAATCGTGTACATAGTTTCTAGTCTTTCCTGGTGTATAAATCTGATAACAGTAGTTCAAATATGGTAATGATTAATGTTGATTTTATTTAAAAATTATAAAGCACCTTATGTCAACAGATTTAGAGATGTGTGATGATGACCATTTTTATGGCCAGATTTTTACTGTGTTGGACACATCTGTCCATTTGTACAGGAAACATTGCTTATAATTATTTTGAGTTACACCATGGAAAAAGGACAAGAACAGGAAGAGAATGGCTTTGGCACACAGTTCACAAGCATTTTTGGTGCTCAGATTTTCAGGTGTACAATATTCTGATCATTTAATTTCTGTGAACTGCCTCTGTCCTTTATCATTGCATAGTGCTCCTCTTCTTAGTGAAAACAATATTCCTCTAAGAACAAATCAATCAGATTTAACACTAAGACATCCATGGTCAGGGATAATAAAAGGTGCAAATGAGACATAGACGCAGACTACTTTCACTCCCTTTCTCTTCTAAATACTCTTTATCTTGTTCTCACAAAAACCTTTTCTGTCTAACTTATACTCTCCCATTTTCCTTATTATTCCTTCCTTCTCTTGAAGCACTTAATAATTTTGTTGAAACCATTCGTTCAGGTTCCCTTTGTGTGGTCTGAAAAACAACAAAAAATTCAGTAATTAAAACTTTGAAGGTCAGTGTGGTAACACTCAGTGGACAGTTAGAAGTAGTTTTAAGAGGGTGAACAACTACAGTAATTCACATAATCATCTGTCTGTTTTTCTAGGGTAAGGGTGATAGAAAAATATTTCCTACATTACTCCAGTCTAGTTGCACAAAACTCCTGTCTTTAGAGAGTGCTGGTCCAAGTAAAAGATCTGCATATGGAGATATTTGAATAGTTTTGCACAGTAATGCGCCAGTCAGTATCAATTTTCTTCTGCATAAATTCTGCTCTTGGGTCAATATAGTTCATCACTAAAAACACAAATGAAAAGTTGCTCCAAAAATGAAAAAGTGGAGTTCTTCATACTTTCTTCCACCTACCCTAAAAATCTTGAAAGCAATCCAACCTTTATTCCATGGCATTGTGAAACAAAGTTTCTTAAATTAACAGCAAAAACTTATATTTTTGAATGCTTGCTTTCTTTAAAGGAATGTCTGGAGCACTTGGAAGAAACAAACTTGTGCAATTCTCAGAATGTCTATAAATTTTAGGTACTCCTATTATCACTGAAGAGAAACAAAGGGATAATTTGTCTTGCTTGATTCAGATATAATAGGAAATGGCCTCTTGGGGAAATAATATAACATGAATCTAGATTCATACTCATCTATTGTGATATACTGCATTTTCCTTTTATTCTGGCAAGAAGGAATTGTATAAGAGTAAGAAAATAGATTTAGGAAGAACAGGGAAGCAAAAATAAGCGATTTAAGAAAGAATACGTGAATGGTTTTCTTATAGGCATTGCTGATTTTTTGGAACCCTATGAGATACGAATTCTCATTTTTTGAATCTACATCAATTCCTCCCTTTCATGATCAAATTAAGGAATTCAGCAGAGAGAATTGAGGAATGAACAAAACAAGATCACAAATAGATGCGAAAATGTTCTGAAGACAACCAGATCATCACTTTGAACTTCTAACTGGAGTGTGCTCTTGGCCGATTCAAGCTATGTACATGGTCTTAGAGCTGTGCAGTAGCGCATTTTATAACATATATTTCTTCAGAATAAGGATGGATTATTGAGTAGACCAGGGAGCAGATTTTTCAGTACTTCTATTGAATTCCCAAGCCTAACTATGTTTTTGTCTAAAGGAGAATTTTATTAATTGCAGCAATGGTATCAACATTTTCCTTTAAAATGGTGCTAGCATAACTGAATATACTTAGGAAAGCGTTAGGCTATTTTCTCTTTGCATCAGGAATGGCCACTGTGGGGCCCAGTGAGAGAGGAACCTAATACATGATCCAAAATAAAGTCCCCAGTCTCCTCTTCCTGTAAGTGACCTGAGGTGACCTGTGAAAATGGTTCATTACTCTCTTGACCAGAAAATTCCACAAAATCATACAAATCACAAGGCTCAAATCTTCATGATCAGTTTAAGAACACCTTTGAAACTGCCCAGGCCCTCAAAGTATGCATATCTGAAAGGCCCCAAGTATCTATCTGACAGGTGCACATTGAAGAAGCAGTGTGTGCCATTCCAGGGTTACAGTGGTGGAGTCGGAAGTTTGCCCAGGCCCAGCAGTGGGGCTGGACACAGGGTCGGGAGCGCAGAAAGAGTGCTGAATTTTTGCTGCACATGCTTAGCAATGCAGAGTAATTGCTGAACGCAAGGGTTTAGATGTTGGTTGTCTGCTCACTGAACACAGCCAAGGGAACAAAGCACTGAAGATGTGCAGTTGTACTTACAGAGCTCACGGCCATATATGAGCTCCCTCAGCCACACCGAAATGACCCTGACCTAGAAGGGAAAATTGTTCTTAAACCAGAGGAGGAAGTTGCACAGAAGAAAAATGATAGCCCAGAAGAAACTAAAGAAACAAAAATGTACAGAATGGGAATAAACTAGGCATAAAATAAATGCAAAATGAAATAAAATGCTTAGATTACATATGTGCCAGGCCTAGGCTTTCCCACATTTGATTTTTCAGAGGAGATATTGTTACATGATGCAATTAAATGAAAAGCTGTAAAAGAAGAAAATAGAACTTTTTAAGTAACCGTTCTGATAAAGTGTAAATTTGAATGTGTGTCATGTCCAAAGTATAAATTTTCCTTCTAGAACCAAGAAAACACCTTTGCAGTTAGGTATTTGGGTCCACCAAGAGTACCTCTCAGCTCAGATTTATTATAATAAAAATCTGGAAATGAAAATCAAACGGAATTCAAATATTAGAATAAAAACCTGGAAGTGAAGATCGACTACAATTCATCTCTGCAGAATTATACTGAATTTTAATGTAATAGACTTTCATTTTTAAATTTTTTTTATTTAAGAGCATGGTCTAATTGGGGCCCACTTAAGAAGTAAATAAAACTAAACGAACTGTCAATTTAGTATGTTTATATATGTATATATATGAATATAGATCTTTATGTATAAATACATAGATAGTTCTCTATTAGTTAATAACTTCCTGAGACTGATATATATTCTTTTATTTTTCAGGGGCAAAGGACCACTAAAGCATACAACTGATGTGATCTATGCAGCTAAAATGATATCAGAATCAGGATCAAGGATGGATATTCTTGCTCGGCAGATTGCTGATCAGGTGAGTTACTTACAAATGTACATGGAGAAGATCCTTGCTAGTTGCTCTTGCCATTCAAAATTGATTACAGCAAAGTTGAATTGTTCTCTATTTAATATTTTCCTAAATTATAATCGTTTATTTAATAACATTATTAATATCCTAGTAGTGGATCATTCATTTTTAAGGAAACAATTATTTTTAGATGCAAAATTTTGAGCTTTAAATATACTCAAATTATTTTGAAAATCATTTTTTCCAGCAAGGCTACTGATTTATTTCAGTTGCTTATAAGGAAATCAAGATTTTTTTCCCCTGATATTTCAAATTGCTATTTTACCCATCAAAAATAAAATATCTCAAAAAAATGTGAGATAATGAAAAGATGGAAATAAAGTGGTTGTAGATGGGGAGGGCAGGAGGGGTGAAGGGAGGGCAGAGGTAAGGGGAAAAAATGAGAACCAAGACCTGTCATGTAAAGGTACAAGATCCCAACAATGAATGTAACTGTACTGTATCTCTAAAATGTACCAATAAACTCAATTAAAGCTGAAAAAAAATAAATAAATAAAATCTCTCAATTTCAAAATTTTATTATTTTAGCTTTTTTGCATCTACAATATTTAAGGGCATTCTATGTTAAAATAATAGACAATTAGCCATTAAATAGATCCTAACATGAAATGTAAAATGCAGGAAGCGTGTAATCCGTACAGACTGCTGTTTCTAAACACTGACTCCTCATTACTATTTTATTTTGTTTATAATTTTATTTGTTTTGGTCTCTCTTTCCTTCTTGGTTTATCTGGTTAAGTATTTGCAGATTTTTTTTTCTTGTCAAGTAACCAACTTTTCATTTCATTGATCTTTTATATTTCTTTTTAGCCTCTATTTTTTTTCTGCTATGATCTTTGTTATTTCTTTCCGTATAATTTGAAATTTGGTTTGTTCCAAATTTCTAAATTTCTTTCTAAATCTCTGAGATACATAATTAAGTTGCTAATTTCAAATTTCTAAACCCATTTTTTTCTGATTTTTAAAAATTCTAACTTTTAAAATTGTACACAAACATTGACAAAAACTTCTTTCATTATTGCTTTTGTTGCATACCACAAATTTCAGTATGCTGTGCTTCTATTTTCATTTTAAAAGAAATTTGGTTTGTTCATTACTTTTCATATATCTCTATTTCAATTTTCTAGGTAGCAGCTACATTATTAAAGTTACTTTATGCTTAACTTTAATTGAAAATATGTCAATTCTGTTAGTGCAATGTGATATTCAATTAATATTTCAGGTTGTAGTATAATATTACTTTGCAGACTTTATATTGCATTTAACTTGATAATACATGTTAATTTCCCTTTGGGAAATAATACACTTATTTTTTTAACTTTGCAAATATTCTGCATTGGTTCTTGCTTTATGCATAGAAGAAAAACTTACTTGGATGATTCATATTATAATTCCTATTATTCACTCTATTTTTACTCTTGGAATATGAGCTTTTCTCTACTGGATAAGATATTTGTAAATATAACAATGGAGAAATAATTAAGGGCTAATGATAGCACAGAAAAAATATTTTAAAAATCTCTTGAATCTGCATATTGTTCTAGTATGTTGGTTTAAGTATGATAAAATTTTAATTAATCTATTTAAACTAGAAATTAGGGATCTGGGTATTGAAAATCCAAAATCAGACATACTCAGATTTTTTTGGATTAGAGAGAATTTGGCTTTCATATTTTCAAGTTTAGAATGTTCAATCAGTAAACTCTATGCAAATTTTCCAAAAAAATAAAAACAGTAAAATTTGAGACACTTCTGATGGCGAGCATTTCAGATTAGTTATGTTGAAGTAATATTTCGTATGTATGGTTAAAAGCAGAAAGTCTTCTAATAAATCAAAATTTTCCACCCTGAATAAATGACTGAAGCTTATATATTCTCAGAATTTTCCTTGAGAAGCTAAGATTTAGTGGAATCAGTAAAGTTATATCTCTTTAGACAAATTTATGTGTACTAAGTAAATACTGCATTCTTACTGCCACTGTGCTTCTGATTATTTTGGAATAAAATACTATGAAAGTTCAAATAATTGTTTCACTTTGAAGGTTTTTATTTCTTGTATTAATATCTCTTTAATTTTTAGACCATTTTGCAGTAGGTACTTTTGTAAAAAGTTTTATTAAATTATGCCACTGTTTTTAGTATTATTCAAATGGTATGAAAACAAAAGTATTTCTTCATCTACATACAGCTTTGTTGTTTTAAGAAGAAGCTTAAAGAAATGGTCACTGACAAATAAATACATAAATTATTGTTTGGACATTTCTACTTTATTGTGTAAAGTAATTTCAAGTAAATCAAATCTGTTCTGAACACATAGTGTTCTGAAGAATCGAAACTTAGAAAAAAAGATAATGACTCAGTAACTATAGTGGCCATCACGCAAAATTTTCCATGAATTTTGTTTTAATTTTGTTCTTCTAATTTTGTTTGACAGATTAATATACAGATTTTAGACATTAAATAATAGCTGAAATCACTTGTAAAAATCAATATAATAATACAGTGAGAGAACTCTTCATTGTCTATGCATATTTTGAAATAATTTTGTAGTGAAGTCTTAATTATTAGATTAGTAACTGTCTAGATTTATCAATCTTACCATTTAAAATTTTCAACAATTTTATGAGCTTCCTAATGTACATTTTTTTCTGGAGGGTTGGATGGTCAATCCACAATTAATTTCCATTTCTACCTAGAATAAACATCAAATGTATAAAATTCACATGGTAGCTTAGTATAGTCCATATACACATTAGTAAATTTTAGTTTATGTATGGTTTCAAAGTTTAGATGTAGAGAAAATGAAATGAATCAGATTAGCTAATTGTAATTCTGCTTGCCTGACCTTTAGTCTTCTTTTTCTAACTCTTCTTCCCTACCTTGCTCCTATGATCATGTATTTATTGTATATGCCAGTACAATTCACTACTCAACAGTTGTTTTTATCTAGCTGGAAAGAGAACTAAAACCTTCTGTCTATTTTTCTTTGTTTGTTTGTTTGCTTGTTTTTTGAGATAGGGTCTCACTATGTAGTTGAGACTGACCTGAAACTCACTATGTAGCCAAGGCTGGTCTCGAACTCACGGCAATCCTCCTGCCTCAGCCTCCCAAGTGCTGGGATTACAGGTGTGAACCACCACGCCTGGCTCCTTCTGTTTATTTTTAATTTGTATATGTTGTTATTTATTACATTCATTTATAATACAAATATTTATGATTTATAAACAAATATATGAGGTTTAGACATAATTTGCTGCGTGTATGCATTATATTATAATTGAATCAGGATATTTATATACCTATCTCCTTAAATGCTTTTTAAAAGTTATTATGATATAAGAGTTATTTAAGGGGAAACTGTGATAAAAACTTGCATTTAAATATCCATTGCTTTCAGGTTAGCTTATTTTTTTCAAGCTCCCCAAATCTCTTGGACTTTAGAAAAGTCTCAAGATGGTTTAAAATATGCAACCCAAGGCACGTTTGTTTAAGTCCCATAGAACTCTGGTACACATTTTGTCTTCATTAGACATTGTAATCTTAAAGGACAGAAGGCTCTTAATCATCAAAATTCTTAAACCTGTAGTTTATTAATAAACACAAGGATGAAGTTGGAGAAGGGGGATATAAATCTAAGAGTCCAGACTCCCTGTACACATTTCTTTCTGTCCCTCCACAGCTCACTGTAATTTGCTATTTTAGCAGATATTCCAAGTTTGATGAATCAACTAAAACCTATAAGGTAGGAATGATGCACAGAAAGAGTTCAATTAGTTACAGAGACAATATACGCCCGATTAAAATGGAGATGAATAGGAGGCAAAACTAAAATTAACATCTACTAAAATGTGCTGCACAAGAAGACAACAAAAATAGAATTTCTGACTCCTCTGTGTCATATGTGAATCCTTCATAGTTATTTTGTCAAGGCAGAGGTATCCAGATTATCGACCAAGTACTTACATCTAACCATAATTTAAAATCATTTTTAGTGTAAAATGCATTGACAGTTAATACAAATTCAAGAAAGGAGACATCATAAAAACGAAGAAGTACAACCCGAGCATGCAATGCACTCAATTATAAATAAAACAAACTACACATGTAATTTATGTTGATATTTGATATAATATTGTTTGTGGCTAACCTCATTTGATTTGCTTCAGTTGATAGCATGAGTAAAAAATTTTTCTTGAAATAAAACTATACTGAAAACAAACATCTTTTTCTTTCATTATGTCATTATTACATATCTTTTAAGGATGTACATCATGAAATTTCATGTTTATTGATATCATTATTCATCTGAAATATATTTCAAGCACAAATTTTGGGGTATAGATTTGTTCTCCAGATTAATGTACTCCTGTTTTATAAAAATAAATGTCTAACAGTTTCTCAGGTATTAAATACAACTAAGTTGGGGATTTAGCTCAGTGGCACCACATCTGCCTCTCAAGCACAAGGTCCTGAGTTGGATCCCTCTGGTACCAAAAAGAAAGAAAGAAACAAACAAACAAAGAAAAATCAACTAAATATTGAAACATTTCATCTACTTGGATCTTTCAAGTGCTCAGAAGGATATATGCTTTAATATTTTTCCTTTTTATCCAATTTCTAGGCTTTCCTTTTAAGCAGCATTTTCAATATCATAAGGGCAATTACATATTAAGGTGAATTTCGTGCATGCAAGGCTACGGCCCCAGGCAATAAAACGAGGTGTTGCAGATTGTAGGGGGATGTGGGTTCTTTTTTTTTAGAGGGAAAATGGGTGAGGAAGATTTCTCCTGACAGCTGGCTATATGTTTTTAACAATATTCCAAAATAAATAGAATTTTCTTGAGCAATCTTGTTGCCATCCTTTCCACATCCATATTCTATGTGCAGAATAATGCATTTTTAAAAGTTTAACACAGGAAATTCATCAGTTAACAAAATTCAGCCAC